CTCCGCCCGGGCTGGGCTGGCCGCCGGGCCCAGGCGCTTTGCAAGTTTTTTTACTCCGCTTCTCCGCTGCCCAAAGGGGAAAACGCGAGTTCAGTGATAGTGCGGTGAGAGCAAAGCCGTTGGGAAAATAACTGCCGAATTTTAAAATCGTGAAAGCAGTGTGTATTGCACAGGGAAACTGATCAGTAAAGAGAGAGAAAAAAGATTTTTTTTTAAACTTAATGTGGAGTTTCATTTGTTGCTACTTCTAGTGCCTTTTTTAATTTTCATTTTTTTACCTTACAGAGTTGCTGCTTGCCGCTGCCCAACACTGGAGGTCAGAGCGTTCTCCTGAAAGCTGCCCCTCGGAGATGTGCCCTTGTCCCCCCACACCGCGTCGCTAGAGCCTGGGTAGTCACTGGGCTGTAACTCCGTCCCCCATTTCCAACCCAGCGTTGGATCAGTCACTTCTGTATCTGATTTGCTATAAACGTGCAAACCGAGCTCCTCTGTGGAACTGGCATTCCCTTTAAATAGCTCACCTACCGCAGCCGTCCCCTTTAAATAACAGCCCCAGCGTCCTCGTTTAGGATGGCTCTTTGGTACCCGTGGGCCGGACCCTGGAGGTGAGCCCAGGCCCGACGACGACGCTGTAGGTCAGTAAGTTCTGGGCTGTTCATAAAGCTGAAGAAGTTGAACTGCAGGAGTTACCACCTGGCCTGCCCATAATAAATAGTTTAGTGTCTGGCATCGGATCAATTCAGACCCAGATAGGTTTATCTCAGAAAAATGCAATATTCGTAAATATAAGTATTTACACTCCATAATATAAGAACTGTTCTCAAATGATAACGTTTGTTAAGAATATCACATATTTCAGCTAATAGCCAGCTTTGGGTTGTTTTCCCAAAGTTGCTTACCAGTGGAGAGACGGTGAAGCCAGCAGGCGCCCAGCTTCATAGCAACGCTTACTCCTGCAGCTGGCTCTCAGCACAAGAAACTGCACCTTTGGGGATTAGAGCGTTAAAAGCTACATGAAAGGAGTAACTATGCATTTTCTTTTCTGAATTTTGCAGTAATATTCTCCATGCTAAAAATATTGCCATCTCACTGTCATGGATACAAATATCTCACGTGCCTGACTGAAGTGTATTTTATTTTCCAATAAAAAGTAAAGAAAAATGATTTTCTTTTAAAAAGCACTTTTATCCTGTTCATTATACCTTATGAAATATATATCTGTAGTCACTGCAGCGTATCTAAAGTAACATAGCAGGAGACTCTCAGCTCATGCTGAGTGAAAGCAGCTCACCTCAGTGGCCTCTCCCTTTGTCATACATGATTAAAATTTGCGTTGCCCCACCAAGACAGAACGCACCCTGCTTACACTTCAGGAGGCAGGCAAACAAACGCGGTATTATAAGGCTGCAAGAAAAAACCAAATTCCTGAATTGCTAAGCAGTACATGGCACAATAGTTTCAGCGAGGTTCTGCCGGTACATGTAGTACACAGTTTTAAAGCTTTAGTATCGTAGCTGAATACAGGGCGGAGGGGGGAAAGGAAAAAAATAAAGGGGCAAGGGAAAGTGAATGCTAAGAAAGAGGTACTAGAGCAGAAAAGGAAAACTACTGCGTTTATGCAAATGTAGGATATTAAAAGGTAGCTGAAGGTAAATCAAGTTTAGTGGCGTTAATTAGAATCTTCCAAATGGCTTTCTTTTAGCTCATCTGGACTCCAGGGCATCTTTTTAAAAGTCCAACACCTCCAACCAAAATGAGTATTGACTCCCCCTAACTTCAGTAAGGATTGGCCCTTAAGAAATTGAAAGAAGTTTAAAAATTTAAAAAGCTAGCCTTAAAAAAGTTTTCTGTGAGTGTCACTATTACCTTATTAAATTGGCCTTTGAAATCAATATTATTCAAATAGGCCACATTTCCAGAGCTTAATATTAGACCTCAGATATGCCCCATTTAGTACCTGAAGTTTTAAGAGCTCAGGTTAACAGACGAATCAGTTACTCCACATAAATTAATATGCATTCCTTTTATGCAAACGTAGACCTGGTTATTTTTTCCTTAAGAAAGATTATTCGCTTTCTAGACACATGCACATGGGCCTGCATTTTGGTCAGCCCTAGGATACTCTGAAAGCAAGTGAAACGGGCTCCTGTCACAGTATAGGGGACAAATGGCGCTTCTCCCCCTTCCAGGAACAATCTCAGGGAGTTCCCACTGAAGTTCAGGCACTTGTGCTGCCCTTTCTCGGGGCAAAGGGAGGGCAGTGGTTTTCCCTGCGCCCCAGGAGCCGCAGAGCTGAGCCCCCGGCTGCGGCCTCTCTCTGTCTAACTTTGGCACGGCTCCTGCCCCGATGGCCGGGCCTCCAATGCCAAGAGAGCTTTCTTCAAACAGAGACTAATCTAATTAGAAACAAGGCCTTCCAGACAAAGGAGGAAAAAGCATCTTAAAAAAGGAATGGATTATAAGTATATTTAAATTCTGTAACACTTGCCAGTTTAAGGAGAGCCCAGTTACTTAAGTCATCTTTCTAGTCTTGGAGGCATCCTTTCCGGCCTGCCTTCAGTTTCAGTTCAACAAAAGATACATTATAGAGCAAGCAGAGCTGGAGGTGACAGTGATATAGGTACATCTGTGACAGGCCCCTTCCTGCAGGAGAGGTTGTACCTGACTTGCCAGGTACAGAATAAAAATTGTGTGCTTGACCACTGTGAATCATCCAGGTAACTCCTTTGAGATACTGAGATTGCAGATTGCTGTTCCCTGCACAGCTGCAATATGACTGCAGTATTTTGCATGTCCCTCCACCCCTAGGAAAGCAGGCCAAGAGCCAACTCACAGCCACCAAAGCCACCCCGAGGAAGGGCAGGAGGTCTTGTCCAGGGTGGGTGATAACAAAATATGCAATCTAATCTAACACAGGGCTGTTTTCAGGGCTTTTTTTTTTTTGCCCCATTGTCCCTGGCCAGCTGTCTGACCAGCTAACTGCCTTTTTGGGTCAATTAGAGCAGCATTGCTCTTCTGAAATAATTGCACACTTACAGCGCACAGCCTCTTGTTATGACCAGAAGCAATCCTTTCAGATCTGAGAGGTTTTAACGTAGCCTGTCCTAGCTCTTGGTAGTTGCTCCCAGCCTGCCTGTGTTGTAATTTACCTCCGTGGTGTCTGGGTTGAGCTGACCCAGCTATTCAGTCTCATACAGACCCATCAACTGTTTATCCCATTTGGTAGCCAGCCTGTACAAAGGAAATGCGCCACTGAATGCATCTGTATTCCTACTACTGAAAGGTTCAAGCTGAAATTGCCTGTTTCCTTGCCAGGAAACTTGAAAGCCAACAGCAGTAAGAAAGCACATATTTCTTTCATGTGAATGGCATCAGTTAATAGGAGAATAAGCATTCAATATTACCCCAATACAACAACAATAGTAAGGCAAAGAGAAAACGCATCGAAGCCTCACATGGAAGATGATAGTTTCTCATACTGTTTTTCATCTTTTTAGTTCAAAAGGTTAAAGAACAAGTAAGAGCCACATATAAAGTAAAGGAACCACTGAGAAAGCTGCAGTGCTCCTCTCGGTCAGTACAACACAATCTTGACCTTCGTGCCATAATACTAAGCCAAAGTTCTTGAAAGGAGGCATTGTTTCAAAAGAGTAGTTTTTTCAAGGGTGAGAAATGCCTATTAAGGAATAGGCTGAAATCACTGAGGTCAGATTATGTTTGACATGTGACATCTACATTTCTCTATCTGGAAGGGGAAGTTTTAAGAGCTCTCACCCCTCTGCACCCCTTAGCTGTGCTTTAAACAGAATCCACTATAAGCGTGGACTAAAGGAAAGTCCACAGTAAAGCTTTAGATATCCTTCCCATTTATCTAAATATTTGTCTTGTGTTGCAATGTGCTAATGTACACGCTTTTCTCCTTTGCGTCTGCAGAAAGTTATTTTTGTCTCTGATAGGTGTGGCATTAAATAAGCAGTAGAGGAAGTAGCACCAGTCCCCACATGCTGGTAGCAACACCAGAGGAAACAATTACAAGAGGTGGAAAATGGGGGTTATAATACAGTGGTGCAAATCTAGTAAAAGCCCATACACGGAGGCAGAGGAAATTTTACATCCTTCACAGCACAGAGCATAATGAGCTTATAAAGTGCCAGTATCTTTAACTATTTGCCATGGCAGTGACAACGCGACACTAACAGCTGCAGTGTCATCACAGTGGGTGAAATCTAGGAAGCATCCCTTGAACAGAGGCACAGAACAGGAAATCTGAATTTTGTTAGACGATCTGACTTCTCAGAGCTTGTAAAGTGCTCCACTTGTGTTACTTTTTCAATGTAGGTTCACTCAAGGGGGAAAAAATATCATAACAGAGGGCAAATATTAGCAGCACATGAAAATGGCAAAATCTTGGCCTTCATCTTCAATTTTACCGTTTCTTTAGTGACTGGGGTCTTTTAGCTCCATCTACTGGTACTGTGTAATCTGCAATGCCTGCAGCAGGCCCAGAGAGCCTGCTGGGGAAGATTCAGTATTCCCCCGAACAAACCACAGGACAGCCGGCAGGCAGCTGTGGCTGGACT